GTCACTTTCCACAAATCATCTGTGAAAGTAGTCACAAGTCCTGACTTTGTCAACTAGCTCACAGAGATGAAATTTCTCCTTAAACTTGGAACATGTCTAACTCTGGTAAGCTTCCAGATTGTTCCATTCGACAATCTGATATTAACATCATCATTTTCTAATATATTGTAGGCCTTATTATCTCCCAAATAAACATTCCTTAGATCACTGAGTGTAGTTTTTAAATACCAATTTATTGAGATAAGCACGAAAAGAGACACTGAATTTACTATCCAAGATTCAGTGCTGACTAGGAAAAACATCAAGGAGTTATTTTGAATTTCACTAGTGGAGACATTAGTAGAGAAACTACATTCATGTCTTCCACCACTGTCTTTCCTTGAAGTTTTGCAAACCTTCTTGAAATGTCTTTTTTTACTGCAGTTCCAACATTTTCCGATGCTACACTAACACATTCCTCTATTTGACTTGGATCTGCATCTGTCTATATTCTTGCCCAAATTCCTTCTCCAGTCATCAACATCCAACACAGAGCTTGAAGATTCATCATTCACTGCTTTCTTGCAAACTTCTTAATTCAATATCATACCTATGATTTCATCAAAGTTCAACTTCGACGTCCCTGAAGAATTACCCACCGCAATTACCAAAACATCCCAATTGTCCGACAATGAAGATAATATCACCAATGCTCTGATCTCATCATCAAACTTGATCCCCACAGAACACAATTGGCTCACACATTATTGACATTATTGAGATGTCGTGCCACTGAACTGTATTCCACTATCTTTATGTTGAATAACATCTTTATCAAAAAAATCTTATTAGAAGCAGATGATTTTTCATACAACTTAGTGAGTGCCACCATGATATCCATTGCAATTTTCTAATTTACAGTACTAAACGCACCAGTTGAAAAAAATAACAACTTAATCAAACCTAGTGTCGTTCGATCTAATACTTCTCATTCATCTATAAGCATAAACTCGGGCTTCCTTGTAAATATTTTTGGTGGCAAGTACAACTTTTTCTGATACAACAAATTCTCCATCTGCATTTTCCGAAAGGGAAGTTCGTCCCAATGAAATTCTTCACTTTTTCTGAACATTGCTTCTTCGGATTTTTTCTTTCACTCGAATCGAACCCTGCTCTGATACCAGTTTGATCGAAATTTCAAAACAATTCAAAACTTTACTGAGGCTTAAGATCAATTAGAAACTAAACCACAACACAAAATAACTGGAATAGAATCTAAATAAAAGGACAATCAAAGCAATCAAAAAAACACACAAGAATTTTACGTGAAAAATTCACGGAGCCAAAATTTCACCATGAAACCAAAGAGCTTTACAGAGAACTCACACCAGTTTCTTCTCTACACACAAGGAAACTTAAAGGACTCGCTCCTAAACGTTTCCTGCTCCGATCCGACGCGAAAAGTTCACACTGAGATTCCATAAATCCTCCTCTTCGACACTTCTCTCATTCACCAAGAACTTGTCGAAGAAACTTCGCAAAAGAACTTAACCTTACATCGCTCGAATTCGAGACTTAAAACTCAAAAACGGAGTAACTGCATCAGGCACAAAAGCGCTCGTCTCTCAGGAAGGAAAGATCGCGCCCAACAAATTGAACGTTCTGACACTCGAGCGCCGGTTTCAAGCCGACCCTAGAGCACAGGTTTCACAGTCAACACCGGTGTGCTTGGGCGCCAAAAGAGGGCATGAAGGTGCAGTATATTTGCCACAAAGTGGGCGCGGGCGCTTGAGTGCACATGGCCCGGTGCTTAGGTGTCTCGTGCTTTAAGTCAGGAACCACACCTAACAATACACATGCAGAAGACGTAAGCAAACCATAAAATGAAACTGAGTTCAGATCATAAGACAAATTCTCTATGAGGAATCAAGAATAACTCTTTACCTCATGCTACTCTTTATGCTCTAGCATGTCTAAAAAAAGCTTTAACCCTATTTTTACAAAAATTGCAGCATAACAAAATTTTCAAAAGCAAGATATCATGAAAAGCCATGAAAAAAAGAAAGTTAAAAAATACATCCTCTCAATGGTACCAAGCTTCTAAAAAAAAAATGAAATTTTTTATGCAATCATGTGATGCATAAAGTTCCAAGAAAAGGGGAATATTTGTGATAATTTTTATAAACTCTACACTTGAGAGGAGGATTAAATATTAGGCTATAAGTTGTTATGGCCCTTCAAAATCAACAAGCAAATAATTTTCTCCCAAGACAAATGTTGGAAAACTTGGCACGTGATTATTTTTGAAAATAACCCAAATTATCCCTAAAAATCATAAATTATACACCCAAAAACAGCATCTGTGGGCCAGTACAACGTTAATGGCCATTCTTGAGCCTGACTAACCCATTTCCTTTTAGTAACCCAGCTGTTGGATTGAATTGCTAATCTGATTTGACGAATTGACTTGCAGAAGTGGCAAATGTCATATTCCAACTATCAAGTTGATCCATTGAGCTCATCTATCGAGCTCATTCAGCGAGCATCCTACATGGAGGTTCTAACATTCAATGAAACCAAAAAAGAACAACCAACAAACCATAAAAAATTAAGTACTTGTGAGACATCCAGCAAATAATAATTATAAAAGTGATCATCAATATATTTGGTTAATATTTTTATGTAGTTTGATGATTAGATCAAATGATTATAATATCCATGCAGTCTAAACAAGTCATAAAAGATAAACATTACTTTTCTTAATAGAAAATAGCCCCAATCGATTGTATTCACTGTAGATTTCTGTTAACACTTCTTCCAAGAAAATGATATGCTGACCAGCCGAAGAAAATGAGAGAAAGATACCAACACATGAAAACTTAAAAAACCTCATGTTTTATGTGCATGTGACCATGCTGCAATATTTATATTTATTTTTATTCTTATTCTTGCATTTATTCGTCTCTTTAAATGATAATGAAGGATATTCAATTTCATAGATTTTTCGAAAAAATATTAACAACTTAGGGGGTGTTTGGCTACAATCCGAATTTACGTTAAAAATGATTTAGTAAATCCAATAAATTCATATTTATATTGAAAGATGACAATGGAGATGACACACGTAGCGTGATAGAATAAATTCTTAAATCCGCCTCGCAATCAGATTAAATAAATCCGGATTTACGTCCTAAAAGAAGTGGAACTTGAGAAGAATAGATGAGATGCGAAAATATTTGATTTAATAGAACGTTGGATTCAAATTTCATTTTTGTTGTTTGACTGAATTTACCTTAAATTTATGATTAAATCCTATTAAAACTATGCTATCAAACATCCCCTTATCTTAACGATAACTTCAACCCTCCTTTTAAGAAATAAATCAATGTATTATTATTATTATTATAAACTTGTGGGGTATAAGTTTCAATATTCATGATAGGCCGGCAGCAATTTGACACGGTATAGAGTAAAATATTTATTTCAAGACATGGTTTAGATTCTAGAAATATCCCAAGAAAGAGAAGACATCTCCTTCCAACTCGCCTATTCATCTGTTCGAAAACTATCTGTCTCTATTATTATAAGTATTAGATCACCACTTTAACTCGCAGGAGGAAGAAATCAGAACGCGAAGGTTTGAAGAAAATTTCGAGAAAAAAAAAACAGAGAATTTGAATTTCATGAATCCATCACAAGGTATTGAAACAATCGATTTGCTCCCATTCTTTCATTTTTTTCTCTAATTTTATGAATTGTGGCTTTGATTTTGATGTGTTCTTCCTTCCTTTTTCCATGATATTTAACATACAATTTGAATCTTAGTAATCCTTCAATCATGTACTAATTAATTTTTTTCGTTTAAAATTGTCAAAAAATTAATTTTTTCACTGGGCTTGGAAAAAGAAAGCTTAAATTTTGCAAATTTATATTTAAAACAACTCCTTTTTTGCCCACCCCCCCCACACCCCCCCCCAATAGAGAAATTCTTCTTTCAGGAATCGCTATAAGATAATTTATAATCGTAATCTATATTTCCACTCTCCACATAATCGTTTAATTACCTCAAATCGATTGCAGGAGATTGATTTCTGTACTGCTTTCAATCTACTGATTGGCTAAGATGGGCTGCGGTTCTTCCAAAAGCTTAGCGAAGTCGGTAAGCACCAGAGAAGAATTCATTGCACCTTTACAGAAGAAAACAAGCGGGTATGAAGAAATACTAGTCTCCAAGAACGCAACAGATCACCAATTTATAACTCTCCTCTGCACTCCCAGCACTCTAGCCAAACAGCTCAAAGAACAGGAATCCCCAAAACAATCCTCTCCCATCAGAAATAATAATGCAACACAGACAGAAAGCTTTAATTCTCCGTACCCTGTAATCGAAGCCGAGGAATCTGAAAATAACATAGAGACAATCAATTCATGGGAGTTGCTGGCTGGTCTAGAAGATGAAGATGAAGTAGAAACAGGATCTTCAAAGAGCTTGAACACAATCAAACAGTGTTCTGAAAGTTCAAGGTGTGATGTCGACAAACAAGACGAAACCCTAGCCGCGAAACAAGAAGGCGAAGGCGATAAGGGAGTGAGGAGGAAGTTCATGGCCGCCGAGCTTGCGGCATTGAAAGTGCCTGCGATGGGGTTTGCGAGAACAGGGAGCTTGAGAGACTGGCTGACGCAGGGAGGGCAAGCGACGTCTAATGGATCGCATGTGAGGACTAAGCATGGAAGTTCTGAGCATCCGGGAGGAAAAAGAAGTGGTGATGGTTGTGAGGAGAATGCGTTTCATCCAGATCTGGTTGCTCAGCTTGAGCAAGCAATGGAAGATCTGACAATGGAGGAGGAGGAGATTTTGAGCCAGATTGTGGAGAAATGGGAGGGCCTGAGAGTCCTGTAAAATCAGATAAAAAAATAAAAAAAAATTTATTTTAGCATCAAAAAATATTCCTTCCGTATTATTCTAAATTATTCACGTGTTATTATGGTGATATTCATGTGTTACCGTGTTCTGGAAATATTCCTGGTATTATTATAACACAATAAAACATGAAACCACCACAATAACACATGAATAATGTGAAATAACACAGAAGGAATATTATCATGTGTTATCGGGTCGTACCACAAGAAAGCGCGCGTGTTTTCTTAAAGCCACATATCTGCATATCAGTGGACTCCGAACGCATCTCTACATTAGGAGTCCTGATATAATAATTTTCTGGGACGGAGGGAAGATAGATGCAAGGTTAGAAATTAATTTATTCAATGTGGGAGGTGAGATTTGTGAAATAAAAATTTATTTTCTAATTAGTAATGAATATCTTTTATTTTATATGGTTGCTTAACCTTAGAATTGATGGATGCTTATTTATTAACTTAATGGTTTCAGAAGAAGAAAGTAAGAATGGGTTATTGTTGATTATGAATATGTAATTTGAGTTTTATATTCTTTTCTTGAATGGTTTACATATGTACCATTTAATTCATATGTAATTACATGTCAAATACTTAGACCGGTGTTTTTACACACGCACACTTATATATATATATATATATATTAAAAGGGAATAATTATTTGGTTCACCAAATAATGTTTCCCTCATTTGGGTCGAAACCCAATGTGCTTTAATTGATCTGAAGAGCCCGTGCTACGGGATTCGAACCCCCCGACCCGAAGGACTTACGTCAAAGGGCGCACTAATAAGCCGAGACGTAGAGCACACACTCATATATATATATATATATATATATATATATATAAAGTTTAGATGTTAGGTACATAAATACATAAGAATTTGGCAATATGCATGTAAACACAACTTCTTTCTTTCATTTGTTCATGACTTTTGATTTTTAAAAGTAAGAACAGTTATATTTTTGATGTGATATGAAAGATTTGGATGATACAGATGTAAAAAAAATAAAGTTTAGATGTTAAATACTTGAGAACTGGTTGGTATGTATGTAAACATTTTTTTTTTCTTTCATTGGTTCGTGCCTTCCCAAGTGTTATAAGTATGTCCAAAAGACAATGGTAAACCATTTTAGGACAAGAGAATAACTAATGAAATCTAATAAAGTCAATGTTAGAATCCACATTACAATAAAGATTGGCTTAATTTTGGTTATCAAATAGGAAATGAGTTATCAATCTTAAAGGGAATTTACATACATATCACATAATTCCTTTGTATTTACATATCAAATACCTAAAATTTGATATTTACATTTATAATGCTCATTTTAAACTAGGAACATTGTTATGTTCTCATCATTTACACATTATGTAAATACCATCTTTTTATTAAATAAGTTATTTATAAGCGCATTTGATTAATGGGCCTAGGTGGGCATCTGCTCATTTATGAGTCATTTGCTTAACAATCCTGGCGGCTTTAGTTGTGTCATGGTTGTTGGTAGCTTTAAGATAGCCCATTAAACCTTCCAAGATGGATTTGTAGTTACAAATAGGAATGGGCTATAGTACACAGGTTGTCATACCACAAGTACTGCTTATTTCTGGAAAAAAATATTACTTCCAGGGACAACTTACAATGGCTGCGATCCATCGGAAGGAGTGGAGGAGAAAAAAACAACCTCCAATGAATCGCAGCTGTTGTCTAGACGCAGCTTACATTTGGACTCCGAACGTAATATTTTTTCTTTTCTTACATCTGGACTCAGAAAAAAAAAAGACCTCCAATGGCTCCTTAGGCAACTTTGCTAATTCATCAAGATAGATATTTATTTAAATTAATAAAACTACCTATTATGATAATTATAAGTCATGAAAAAAATAAAAAAAAACAAAAATAAGAGAATAAATACACCATAGATTAGAGGGGAACAAAACAACCTGCCATGAGGATATTGGTTAAACATGGAGAAGAAAACACATTTGTTGTTGTTGTTATTACACTTCTCTTCTATGATGTTAGAGCTTCTTTCTATTATGACTAAAAGCTTTTCCTTTTGATATATCTAAAACAAGTATTTTTTGGAGAAAAAAAAATAAGCTAGCTCAAGAGAATTCTAGATTACAAACACATAGAAAAAATAACTTATAAGAAAAATACCAATAGAAGAAAATTGGAGCCACATTTTTTTGTTTTTTTGAGAAGATTCACTCACATCTATGGCATCATAAAAAGATAAATGCATATAGTCCAAAGATAACTCTGAGATATAGAGGAAGATCTTTTATTTTGTTAATATTTTTTTCCTCTCTCTCTCTCTCTCTCTCTCTCT